TCTTATCCCTTTTTAAAGTTAGTTTACCGAATAGATTGGAGATAAATCTGCACGTTTGTCCGAATATCGAGATGGAAGTTTGGATGTTAGTACAATGAGCCAAGATAGAGAAACTTTGTACCAGTTATATGTTGATAAAACTTGTTGCAAGTCGGCCCACTTACTCTAATCTTCTGGTGCTCCGTGGAACACACAGGTGTTTCACTCATTCGTTGAAGCATATACTGCAAACCACGAGTACATGTATTGATGAATGGCATATCAAGCCGCTAATGCCGTTAATGCGTCATCGATAAAGTTTTAAACACGAAAAAAATACTTTCCTTTTTCCAAAAGTGTGCATTAAATAATTTCTTATTACAATATCTCATCTAAAATTCGACCCTACTTCTCTCCTTTCGTTATAAAATTAACTAGATCAACTCTTTTTTGTTATTAATCAGATCGTCTGAAATTTATATTTATCTAAAAAAAAATCCACATATTTTTAAAAAATTGAAGTAATTTCTATTACTTCTATTTTCAGATATATGGATTTAAGACGAAAATTGGCTCTTTAATTATTTATAACGAGTTTTTAGTCACAAAATGATAGACATATGTGTGAAATAAGAGACAATCACGAGATAAAGTGAAGTATTTGGAAAATGTCGCTGGGGATGTGTATGTCTGTATGTGTGTATGTGTAAGTATTATGTGTCAGGTACATAATAGTATTATGAAATTATTTGTAAGTGAAACAGTAAATTTTACCTTTTGCCAAGGATGCGACTTAATTTGTGGAAATTTGAATTCGGTATAGTTGGGATTCATCTCACGTATCTGATCGCGCGTAGGTGTACCAAGGACTTTGATAATTTCTACCAGCTGATCGACGCCGCTATCGCCGGGAAATATCGGTTGGCCTAGCAACAATTCTGCCAGCACGCAACCTGCGCTCCAAACATCTATCGAGAAAATGAGAGAAAAATATATCAAGAAAATTAAACTAGAAAAGAGATGTAATAAAAATATAACCCTATTGTAAAAGAGTATTACAATATACTAATAACAAAATATAAAAATTAAAAAAAAAAAAATTGAATTTTCTACATTTTATCATGTGTTATGGAAGCCTAAGAGCTTAATTCTAGCAGGTATCTGCTAAAGATTAAAAAATGATAGAGCGCGTCTAAAGATGATTTCTCAAATTTTTAGATCGATCAAAATTTGTAGCTTACCAATCTTTGTAGTATAATCGATAGCACCAAAGATGAGCTCAGGTGCACGATAATAGCGACTGCAAATGTAAGACACATTGGGCTCGCCTTTCACTAAGTGTTTAGCCGAACCGAAATCGCATAGCTTCAAGACGCCGGTGTCCGGATCTAAGAGTAGATTCTGCGGCTTAATATCTCTGTGGCAGATACCCAACGAGTGGATGTACGCCAACGAACGGAACAGTTGATACATATATAGCTGCAAAAAAAAAATCAAAGCTTATCTTCATCTCTTTTATACTATATACTATATATATACAATATGTTATGACATAAGTTTACAAAATTTTTTTCTGTTCGACTATTAAAATTTTACATGATTTGAGTTAAGATCGGTGTAAGCCAGATCGGTTTCTATCTATAATATATGAAAATAATTTTGTACGAAAGGACTAATTATTTTAAATAATTTTTTTATTTAAATTAATGAATAAAGTTAAAAATTTAAATTATTTATTTATTAAGTTTAATTTATTTTAAAAAAAATTAAATAATTATTATTATTATTATAAAAATATAAATAGTAAAAATTGATAAATATTAATTAATATATAAAATTAAAATTACTTTGGCAGATAAGTGTATTAAGTTTAGAATTTAATTAATATATATATAAAATATTAAAAATATATAAGTAATAATTTTATATGAGTTTTATCAGTATATTAAATTAAATATATTAAATTTATTAATTTTATTAATTATGTTATTAGTAGGAGTTGCTTTTTTAACTTTATTAGAGCGTAAAATTTTAGGATATGTACAAATGCGTAAAGGTCCTAATAAGGTAGGAATTATTGGGATTTTTCAGCCTTTTAGAGATGCTATTAAATTGCTTAATAAAGAATTATTTTATGTTTATAAATCTAATTATAATTTATTTTATTTATGTCCTATATTAAGATTTAGTTTAATGTTAATAAGGTGGATATTATTTCCATATGTTACTAATATTTATTTTTTAAATTATTCCATATTATTATTAATTTTATTAATATCAATTAGAGGATATATTATAATTTTTATAGGATGATCATCTAATTCAATATATTCAATAATAGGATCTATACGATCTGTTTCTCAAATATTGTCTTATGAGGTAAGATTTATTTTTATTATTTTAATTTTAATGATTATAAGAGAGAGATATTCATTCTTAGATTTTATAAATTATCAGATTTATGTGTGATATTTATTTATTTTTTATCCATTATTTTTAATGTATTTTATTAGAGAGTATTAGCAGAGTTAAATCGAAGTCCCATAGATTTGTTGAAGGAGAATCGGAGCTTGTTTCAGGGTTTAATATTGAGTATTTTAGAGGGGGGTTGATTTTTTTAGCTGAATATAGAATAATTATTTTTTTTAGATTTTTGAGAATTTCATTATTTACAAATTTATTACAATATTCTGATATTTTTATATTTATATTTATTATTATAATAAGATGTTTAGTAATTAAATAATTGATTTCTATATAACTAATTATGTAATTTCGCAAGTCTTACGAATAAAAATTATTTAGAAAGGATAAACTTCAAGCAACCAAGCTAATCGATGTTAATTGATATTAATGGGATAGAATGAAGCAGGAATTGATCCTTTCGACCCTTTAAATCACCTAATCGCAATGATTGCATTGTACGAAATCGCAATAAATTATCGTGTGGTAAGATTTATGTCGCTTAGAAAGTCAGCGGCGCACTTTTCGCAGAGAATCAGCTTTTTCGCCGACGTATAAATCACCCTTGTGAATATCTCGCTTTAGAAAGTGGTGGTAATCATTTGACTCTTTGACAGCGAATTTAAAAAAAACTTCGTTTTTACGCGAGAGCAAATCGTATTCACAGTGCATAATTTCTTTTTACGCGCGGGAAAAATCAGCATTTTTCAGTGTGATTAGAGATGAAAGTTTTTTGAAAATGGGATAAGAAATTAAATAAAAAACCGGTGTTTTTTGGTAATTTTGAAAAATAATGTCAGTTTTCTTCGAACAAAAGATGGTATGGGAATTAAATTAATTTTGTTTGGATCAATTTCAATGAATGTGGCTAAGCTGATTAATCAGTTCAGTTCGAATATTTTAAAACTGGTTAATTTTGATTTTTATAATTCAATGGAATTTTTGATATTTTTTATTTTTAAAGTTTTATAAAAGTTAGAAAAATACTCTCTCAAGCAGAATTAAACTGTTATTATTTTTGTTATATTATGGACCAGAAACGAGAATAACACATGGAATCTGATACCTAATTTTAATACATTTGATGCTCATTTTTCAAAGCCGTGCATCAAAGATTAATAAATAAGCATTCAAATTAGATTTTTGCTATACATTTTTGAAAATGGACATTCTGAGTAATTAATGGGGTAAAAAACCCATTTTTGAGGGAGTAAAAAACAGTTTTTTTTTTTTACCAAGTTTTTTACCCAAAGTTTCTGTTTTTTCACTACTCTTTAAATCTCCAAGTATGATTGATATGTTAATCAAGAACATTTAATTGATAATATCTTATGACAATTCATATGAATAAATAATTATTTTCAATAATAACACAGAGCATTATCCAATTATTGCTCGTTCCTTCTATACTCGGACACGATACGGTGTTAATTTGCAGACAGTTATTTATTAATACAGTTAGCTTTGAAATACTGTGCCGTGACGAAAGCCGTGGACGCGGAAGCAGCCGGACAGGAAAATACGCGGTCGACGGCGAGTTTAATTCAACGATTTGCAACGTGTCTTCTCTGGGCGCGCTTTATATACTTTGTTGTAAAGACGTCAGCGAGCTGACAGCGCGCCAGACACTTGAAAGGGACGAGCCAGTCACGCTCGCAGATCAGATCCTTTGTCGGCCGTGCAATTAAGATAAGGACTCTCCTCGCAGGAGGAGAGAACGTTTCCTGTCACGGGGCGGCAATGTCGCCTCGCTCCGCGAGAGCCGCGAGAACACTTCGAAAGAAGTCGACGCTTCCAAGAAAGGGGTTGATTGGCCGAAGCGTGCTGTCTTCAATTTGCATAGCTATCATTCTAAATTGCGGTCTGGGAGGTCCGAGTACGGTTATTGTTGACGTAAAATCCCGTGCGAAATGATTCAGCGCAATAAAATAGAATTCATCTGAATAATCGTGAAAACTTCCGGAACTAGCGAATTCGTGAGATCTATTTACGGAGGAAATTTTTTGTAAAAGACTTTCGAATTAGTCGAATTAAAATTTAATATAAAATAATTATTTTTAAAAATATAAAAATAATTCATTTATATATATTCGATATCGCCTAATTTTTCTGAAAGTTTTAGCCTCGAGCATGCACGAACGAAATGACAGTAAACGTTAAATTCTGACGACTACCACAATATGATTACTCACAAGTGTCGAGGATGAATAGTAAAAGTAAGAAGCACTTAACTCACGTAGATTGTCACAAATCGAGTTAATCCTACTGCGTATGCGTACTCTGATGTATCTTGTTTAGACTACATTATTCAATACGTTGCGGTAGTTATCAATAACCCATTAGCATGTCATGATTGAATTAAAAGGCTTCTTGGATTGAATGACGGGATGATTAATAATCGAAATGTGTACGAATATCGTGTGGGCGCAGCTGTCACGATTCGAACCTTTGAAGGAGAATCCGATCGTACAAGTAGAACGGCCACTGTAAGTCGGCCACAGTAGGCAGTGTGTCTATTAATCCGTTGCTACATACGTTTTACGAACGAGAAATTGAATCCCAGAGCTGAATCTAATGATCTAATAGAGAGCGGATTTAATGCACGTGTTGCTTCTTGCTCACGCTAGTTATCTCCGTGATTAACAGATCGCGATCGAGGATAAACGCGATCGTGACCATACGTCGTTATTGTTTTCTCGAGTTACCCTATAGAATTGTAATCGGCTATTAATATTTATCAAACTCATAAATAAATTTTGCAGTTATATTTTACTTCAAAAATAAATTTGTCATATATTTTTAATATCTTGTTATCCGCCTTAGCTGTATCTTTCTCACTACTAGATATAAATTAGTAAGTAATAATGGAAAGAATTTCTCGATTCTCATAAATCTTTTTTTTTAGAATTCTGAGATTACGGGATATTTATCTCATACTTTGTCCAACCAATGGATATATTTCTGTTATCTTACACACCGAAAAGACCATAACTTACGACCTCTAGAAGAAAACTACTCCAATAATGTGTCAAAAATATGCCTCTCCTTAAGTAGTGTGTAGTGTTTCGATTTCGATGGAGAGACTCATGCGTCACAGATTATCGCCTTCCTATAACTCTTGCATGGAAAAGTCATGGGTTCTCGGGTACTATAATATTAATATTTTCTATTAATACAGATAGTAGATACATTATTTTATGTGAGACAATGCGTGTGTGCTTTATAATTTCATGCGACGATAGATTGCAACTGTCATTTAATTTAATGACGTCTCGATCCTATTTCATAAATAGCCAATGATGCATCGTTCAATTTCCATTGGAAATAGTGTGAAAAATCCCAGTTTCGCAAACGTCTCGCACGCTATTGTTATCAATTGGAGGATATCGCGCCCATTTGCGAGCGCGCCAAATGCAGAAGCATAGGCGGCAGCAGGAAGCGCGATTATCGTATAGAACGACTCACAATCACTATTGTTGCCATTGACAATCTATTGTGGGGATATTTAACGCGAGACACACAGCCACTATTTCGAGTTTATTATAGGGCGTGGTGCGGCCACGTGGTGGCATGTCGCTCAGACATTTAAATTGCATGCGTCGCGCGAGAGAGCGGCTCGCGTCTACCGCACCCGCGATCGCAAATCGCTTTGACGTTTACCGCGCCAGGTGCGCCGGACGTAAACAAAGAATGATTACCGTGTGTGTATTACGGTAGTCGCTACTCGCACCCTTTCATTGTACTATTTGCATTCTCCGTTGCATTCGTAATTATTCCTCGCGATGGAACGTTTCTGGCGCGTGGGAGAGTTAGCAGGGTGTTTACTCCTTAGAAAAATGGAAAATCTGGAATTTTCAGGGAATTTTTTTATACCTGGAGAAATCAGGGAATTCTTATGGAATTTTATTGGGTCTCAGGAAATTCTTAAAAAAATTCTCTCTGATAATTTTGCTCTTATATGAGTACTGTAACCAATCCATCAATAAGCCTAGTTGTAAATTATGTGTTTAAAATATATTATAAATATGTATATTGATCTCTCTATTTTTCCTATAACTCTTGC